AAAAAAAAAATCCATTCTTCACTGAACCCAATATGGATGAGATTGTGGACGAGATTGTGGTTAGAGCCAGGAGAATAGAAAATATGTCTTAGAGGGAAAGACACAAGGAGCTCTATTGGGTTAGCTTGTCAAAGAGTGGGTTAAAAGGTGACAGTCTATAAGTATACATGGGGGGAACTGAAACTTGATAATAGAAAGCTTCTCAATTTAGGAGACAAAGAAATAACAAGAAGCAACTGCTGGAAATTGAAGCTAGAAAATTTCAGACTCCAGATAAGGCATGCATTTTTTTCAGAGTGAAAACAATTAAACATTGGATCATCTTACCAAGGATTAGGGGTGAATTCTCTAGCAATTCTTACATGAGATGGTATATTTTTATTCCTAAAAGATATACTGTATACTGTAGTTCAAACAGAAATTAATTCAGGGAAGTCTCCTGGCCTGTGTTATGGAAGAAATCGGACTACTCAGTCCCAGCAGTACTTTCACTCTCTGAATATCAAGAGCTCACAACCTTGGTAGGAGATGAGTCTTCGAATGCGATGCCCAGCATGTCGGTTGGATTCTGGACCGCTCTGCCATTGAAAGAAACTTGAAATACTGTCCGGCCAGAGAAAGAGGGATTGGAGATCTTTGGATGCCAGATTTTGGTTCGAGTGGTAATGGCCTTGGGGTGCAAAGGTGAATGTCAGATCTGGGGTCAATCCTGACCTGTTCCCATGCCGAAGCTTTGCAGGGAGGTCAGGGCTTGAGGTTAGGTCTGTTTCTGGAGTGGTGGAAAGCTGCTGTCCATAAGGGCGGCTGAGAGCTGTCTGTGAAATGAGCAGTATCTCTTTGCACCATAGTTCAAGCCCCAGATCTGGGGGTGTTTCATTTCCTGTTTGGCTGGCCCAGATGCAAGGCAGGGCCCCTATCCGTTTGACAGTCTTTCCCCTCATCCTTGTTTGTCCTTCTTTGCTCTTGAACTTTGCAGTCAAGCACACAGAGCTGATGGACATTCCCAGCTCTGAACACGGCCCTGTTCACAGCTCGGATGGTAAAGCAAGCAGCCCTCCCTTCCAGGGAAGGTGCAACTGTTTAGTACAAACCCCAAATCTTTCAGCAATCCTCAGCTTCTTTCCATGTGGCTTCACTTTCCTCAGAGTCTCATCCTTGGCTTCCAGATCCTGCTATGACTGTGACTGAGCCTGTGTTCCTGATATTCCCGTCTTCCCCTTCCCCAGCTCCAGGGTCACCACTTCCCCACCTATTTTGGTTCTCTGGGTCAGCGCTCCATGCAGTCTGCCTCTCTCGCTTGATGGTTACGCACCTTCTTGGGCTTCTTTGCATGTTTGGGATGGCTCCATGTGCAAGGACCTGATCACTCTAGTCCTTGACTGTACAGAAAGTCCCCGCATCCCTTGCATGTGCAGGAAATGGATCCTTGAAGTTTGGCACCTCCACATTGGAATTAAAATCTTTTAACCCTTGGACCACTGCCATCTTTCCACTTGGATGGAGAAATGTTATTTAGCGGTGGCGGGGGGTGGAGGTGAGGTGGCAGAGAGACAAGGGGAAATGCCTGTCTATACGCATCCGCAACAAGCCAGGGATTGGATTACAGAAAAGGTCATTTGCCACTGATGGTTGATTTGTTCACTGCATTTAGCAGCCAGGTTGCTTCTCTCACAACATCTACAGCTTAGAGGAAGGATCCCAGCCTACCTATGGGGAGTATACACCCAACTAATCCTCACTCCTGTTGTCTCCTCCTTCCACAGATGTCCATGTTCAGTGCTCAGCTGGTCCAGGTGATTCAGAAAGCCCAGAGGAAGAATCCGCCACCAGGCAACCCCACTGGAGTTATGGTGCTCAACCAGTCCCTCTTGATCGACACCTATGTGGGGCTAATGTCTTTCATCGGCAACAGCAACAAGCTGGGTTATGCCATTGCCCGTGGGAGCTTTGGTTTTTGAACACCCTGCATGGCGGGGGAGAGCTTTGTGGGTCCCTTTTGATTTGCTCACTTTTTCCACTGGTCTTTTCAAGTCTGCATAGGGCATCCTTCCTTAAGGGCTAAGGTTATGAATCATCCCTTCATGAGGCAGGTATCAAGAGGCACATGCCCATTTAACCCAACATAGGTCCTATTTTGAGGACGTAAAGATTTGAGGACCTAAAGATTGAGGACATAGCAGGCTGGTCCTGACCCCATGCTCAGGTTTTCCTGGGCTGCTTGGGTCCTGCTACATTAGTTATAACCTCTGTGCAGTGTGTGCTTTAGAAGTGGATCAAAACAAGAAGCCAAGACCCAAATGCTGCCAAATCTGGTGGGGCACAGCTTTTGGATAGGAAGTTAACTTTGACAGCTCTTGCCCATCCACAGGGTTTTGTGAACCCTCTCACTCAAAGTAGCCTTCCACATCCCTCTGGCTCATTGCTAATGGCAATACAAAGATAGGGCTCCTTAGAGCTGAGGGTACCTTAGTGCAAGGTAGACGTGGGTCCTAGCCAGCAAGGTAGACGTGGGTCCTAGCTAGCAAGGTAGACGTGGGTCTTAGCTATCCAGGTAGACTTGGGTAATAGCCAGCAATGTAGCCAGCATTCCCCACTTCCTCTAGCCAGCATTCCCCACTGCCTCTTCAATAACCAGGATGTTCTGCAGTCTCTTCCAGATCTCAGGGCTTTGGGCACCTTGGACCACAATAAGATGCCCTTGCTTCAAATCTTAGGCCCTACATTAACCTGGCCAACACAGAGACATTACTGCTTGACCAACCTGAGGGCATTTATTAATGGGGCTCTGAACTGATGCAAGCATTTCGCTATCTGTTCTGCCTTGACTTGCCAGACAGATTATATTGTGGTTGCATCTTTTTGCACAAGCTTGGAAAAGGCATCCTGCGCGATTCTAAATATTACTCTTTGTTAAGGTGTCTTTTGTTCTTTAAAAAGTGGCCTTTCTTGCAGTTCAGCTTGGAGAACCTGGGGAATCCTTGGAGCAATTTGGTAATATGTCTGGAAAGGACATTCCCCTTTTTCGGAATAAACTGTTCACAGGAGGCCTGATGTGAAGCCATTGAAAACCAGTCAGAAACTCTTTGTGGCTTGATTCTCTTCAGTTGGGGCCCAAGGAAAAAAGCAAGAGTGAAATATCTTGAAGCAAATCTTACAAGATAAAAAAACCCCAAAACAATGTCTTTCCTCGTAGCTAAACGTCTTTATATTACATATGAAGCATCAGCATCAATTTTCTCTTGAGGGGGTGGGTGGGGAATCTAAGAAAAGGAGACACAGCATTTTCTAGACAGTACAAAATATTCTAGCTCAATAGAGTAGTATCACAGAATAAAATAAGAATATAATATTCTAGCTCCATAGAATAGAATAATAGACTATTCTCACTCAATAAAATAGGATAGTATAACTGGATCTTGGGGGCTTTATTTTATATGGATCAGAACTGGCATATATTTTTACTGGAGATTTCAAAACTTCAATAAACCTGTACCCTCGGTGGTTTTGTTCCTTTTTTGAGTGCCAGATGGGATAGATGACACATGAATAAATATATCTTTCTTTTGGGATTTGGATGTCTTTGGGGTTCTCCCATTCTCCCCATATACACGGACTTCATGTCTCTAAACTCTGCCTCCCTATGATCAGAAAACCTGCCAGGGTCTCCATCCAGGTGCGTGTGTGACATCTCTGCAATGCTTTCAGCTCCTCGGGGCTCCTGGGATGGTGGGGAGAGAGAAGAGAAGTGGACATGAAATCCAAGTTCACGGCCTGGATCACCGGACAGGTCCTAAAGGGTTGCATTTAATAACGTGCTTTGATTAATATAGCTCATCCTTTAAGGAATTTTCATCAAAAGCCCACGAATACCTAATGCAAACCACAAATGTACCATGTAAGTTGTAACGTCCTGTTTGCTTGGCATGTCACCAGTAGCAGAAAGTGGGTGAGACTCTCGGTCACACTGGGCTCTTTCTTCTGCACACAGGGCTTCACAGAGTCTGGGATCCTCAGGTTTTCTGTTGCCCTTAACGGGTCCGTTTTAGCTCAAAATACGTCAACAAAAAAGTTTTGAGATCCTACAGACTCCAGTCTGTGCAGCGGTTGAACATGGGAATGAAGCAAATCTGTGTGTGTGTTTTCCCTCTACATCCGTTAAAATCCTTCCCCCCCTCCCCCCGCCATTTAATTCATTATGTCAGTTAGCGTGGCTGTCCCCAAGGCAAAAAACTTTCAATTCATGCTTCAGGAGGAAATGTTGGAAGGAGGTGGATGAGATAGCTGCTGCATTGCTTTGGCAGCTGTTCTTAGAAAAGCATCATTGGCAAATTATCACAATCGCTTTGCAGAAGGAGAAGAAAAAAAAAGAAACCTGGCCCAGAAACGGGGAATGTTGCTGACGAGGCATTAAGAAAAGACGTATCTGCTTGTATTTTGTTCTCTTCCCTACTGGGGTTTCGTGTTTTGCTCATGTCGCCCTTTCCTAGCAAACTCCTTTTCAGAGTAAACCTGGCTCCTTTGGTGATGGGCTCTTAAAGGCACAATGCAGCTCTGTTTCCTAAGCTGTACCTGGAAAGTTTTGAATCTGTTTTTGTTTCTGTCTCCGAAAGTTTCTGAGCTTCGGAGCCTTAAAAAAATGCTGGTGCTTGTTTCGAGTATTGCCTCGATCATTAATGAACAAAGGTCACTAACATTAATCAGTGGCTTGGGAGCTGCTGCTAATGGGTTATGCTGCCACTTTCCAGCCCTTTACCAAGACAGATGTACGTGCGGCGCCTACCACGGCTGCCCTGTCCTCCAGACTATTTGCAGTTTCCAGGTAGAGGCCAAAAGGGCAGTGGAGAAAGACCCTCCAGATCCAGGTAACGGGCCTGGATAAGGCAGCGTCCTTATGCTCAGATCCATCCTTTGACTCCTTGACATGGTTTTTCAGGGGATCTGGGGCAATGCCAACCAGCAGCTGAGCAGGTCAGGGCTCCCCACTGCATTGCGGTCGTGTTGCAGGACGCTCGTCTGGTAAAGAGCGGGGCCCCGAAAATGAACCTTTGCATGGGGCCTCCAAAAGCTAACTCCTGCCACCACCAGGCAAGGTCTGCCCACACTTTAAATGAGTGCTGGAGATTGAGGAGGGTGTTGTATAGCTCCATCCTTGGTGTGTGCTATCTGCACACAGCGTTCAGTGCACAAACCTAGCTCCAACCTTCTTCGGGTGACGCGGGCCTGCTGTTTTTATGTGGTTTGTGTGTTACGGGATAACCTCATGAGTTTAACGGCAGTGCAGAAAGAGCAGCCACCGCTTCCTCTCCATATTTTTGGCAAGCTTTTTTGTTTCGCAGCCTGGTTTGGTTTGTTTGCACTGGTTGATGCTGTTATGCACTGGAGCTGCCCTGCATGGGCAAGGTGTGCTTTGTCTCATTGCATTTGCTTGGAGCCACAACAGCATGGACAAAAACTAATGTGTCTTCATGAACTTACTGCTGGCCTCCTTCGTTTCTCATTCAAGCTCGATACTGGATGTTTAGACACTGCTTTAGATGCCTGTTTTCCAGGTTGCTTTTAATGCCTGGTAAATGCTGTGCTCAAAATGAATGAAGGGGTGATGTCTAAAAATGACAGCCAGACAGCTGGGTTTTCTTCTTATGTTGCTGGGGGATGGATGGTAGAAGTGGCTTCTAACTGTAGGTGTCCCTTCTCGGGGGGCTGGAGCTGTAGGTCCCGGTGTAAGACTTACGGTGTTCGAGTTATGGTCTGCATAACTCTAACACTGGAAGGGACAGGATAGCAGTCTTCACATATGTGGAGGGCTGCCATAAAGGAGAGGGAAAGCACTTTTTCTGTCTTGCTGTGGAGAGGCAGATGCAGACCAATGGCTGGAAGTTGCAAAGTTGGTTTAGATTGGATATCTGGAAAAACTTCTTCATGGTGAGAATAGTGAGGTAGTGGAATAGGCTACCCAGGGTATCCTCAGGGTTGAAAAATGAGGTATTCCCAAGTAGAGGCCACTTTTGGAAGTGAAAACCCAAACCTCACAATGTGCCTTAGTGTCCCCAGCTCTGTAATGGGCATAAACGTGGTGCCAGACTTCTTTATCATGCAACCCTACTTCCTATTCCTAACCCTAATACAGTGCTAGGGGCCCATGTGGACTCTGTTTCTTCATTTGCCCGTCAGCCCCCTGCTCTCCTCAGCTGTGCCCTCGGGGGCCTTCGCTCCTCTCTGAGCAATTCCCTAGGCAATCGCTGGGTAACTCATAACTGTGTTGAGGCAGCAAGCGACGCCAGGTGGCAGCAGGAATAAGGAGGCTCTGAATTCACGGCTTGTTTGCAAAGTAGTGGCAACTGCAGGGCCTTGGAGAACAGGAGGGCTATGGCTCAGCCTGCCAGGTGTAGGGAGCAACATCCTCACCCTCACTGCCCCGGGTCTCTGTGTGCTGCTAGCGAAGCCCCGTCACCCTGGCACCATAGCAGAGAAGCGCATTCATATCTCCCACCATGAGATTGCTTTCCCTGCAGCCCCCTGGCAGAGGAGCTAAGCTTTCCCAGTGACCCCTACCCTCCATCCAGCCCTGTTCCCATCCCTCGTGCCTGCAAACAGTGAAGCCAGAGCTCCCGAGGACTCCCACCAAGAGGTGCTGGTGCAGCTCGGGGCTCTCCCCCTTCGTGGCACCTGCTCCCCTTCCCCGCCCCACAACTCGGCTGGTGAGGACTGCTCCTTCCCTCTCGCTGTTATGGGAATGAGCTCAACCTGAGTCATTCCCAGCATGAGGTGGACCCTGTTTCTTGGGAAATGGGGCCTTGCCAGCAGCTGCAGGGCTTAGCACCGATCTGACACAGCTTCCGGAGAAGGGCAGGGCATCTACCAAAGTATTCAGGGCAAGGCTGGGCTGGGCTCCAGTTTGGCAGGCGGCTCTTGCCTGAGTACAAGAGGCGGGGAGCGGAGGAAGGCGGAAGGGGAGTGGGTCCATTGCTCTCATTCTCCATCTCTCACTCCCATCATTGCACCACCCACGCCCCATGCAAAAGGCTCACAACGGCGGTTCATTAATTGCCGTAGCCCTTGTTCTGAGGCCTTGCATTATTGACTGCTGGTGGCTTGATGGGGCTGGCTGCGATTTTTGAGACTTGGTGGCTGGAGGAGTGGTGTGGGGTCAGGCTGCGGCCTGGATCTGGAGTGCGGGGCTGCAGTGTGAACGTGACGGTGTTAATTGCTAAGGTTTCCATAGCTGGCATGCCTCCCACCATCCAATTTCCAGCCCCATGGGCCAGATGAAACAGTGCCATGCTCTGGATCTGGCCCACAAGTGGTGGCCCCTGTCCTAGCATGAATGCCAGCCCTTCTGCTCTGCAAATTGTCCCATTCCTGCCTGTTTCCCCCTCTGAGTTTTGTGATTCCCCCGAGATCCCCTACGGTTTCATAGAGTGGTGTCTTCCTTCCTTCTTCCCCTGCTTCATGAGCCTGCAGTCTTCCCTTCCCTCCAAGACCCTTACAACACCCTACCCCAAAGCCATTTGCTTTAGCGGAGTGACATGCTGGGCAGCTAATGAACCGGCACAGCTGTGTCGAAGCATCCGAACAATGAATACGCTCTAAAATAGCATCCAG